TCCGGCAGGGCCGGCCGCCGCCCGGGAAACCTGCCCAGAGAGGCGAGAACGGGCAGCTGGGTCAGCGCTGTGTAAAGAGGGAACGACCACAGGTCTGTCTGTGACACACACACACACAAATCTCGTGTTTTACTAGTCTGTCACTCTTTATCCCTCTGAAATGCTGGGCATGAGCTTAAATTTCAGAGTTGCTTCTGTAGCAATAGTAAAAGCAGGAGAAATGGAAGGGGTGATCCATGGAGCTTCCTCCAGACATTACGCGGCTGTGGAGCACCCCAAAAGCCCTATCTTGTGTTGCTGTCTGTGCTGGTGTTTGGAAGAAAACCTAATTAATCTTGACCAGAAAACTCGCCCAAGTACAGCCGTTTTTTATGACGTGCTTTTCCGTGGATTCAGCTATATTGAAGCATGGGGAAATCTGTAGCCAATAAATGAGCAATGCATCACTGTGGGAAACCAGCCCACTTTCGGCCACAGTAACTGTGCCTTCGATATTGTCACTCTGCCATGGGAATGCTGAACTAATTAGTCTAGCAGCCCTCACATCTACAGGTACTTGAAAAATATCTAATTGCTTACATATTTTTTTCCTTCTAACAGCGAACACCCACCTGTTTTTTCCAGAGCAGCGTAACTGGTCTATACAGAAGATACTGGGAAACCAAGCAGGTGATTGTCTGTGCTGTTCATTTTCATGTAAGTCTTTTACGTAGATGGGAGGCTGTACAAACAAAATGGAGATATTAGTAAAGTAATCTTAAAGTGTTCAACAGCAATCAGTAGGACTTATTATTTGGAGGACAAGAGCTGTACTTAGGTTCTATTGAAATTGCCTATTCTTGACAGATTTTCTTAAGGGTGGAGAAAATAGTAAGACTTTTGATGAAAAACAGCTGAAATTATTCCCTTTAAACAGGGAACAATTGGTGTGTGGAAGAAATAGGACAATTGATTTTTTAGTGAAAAGATTTTAAAATTATATTGCACTAACAATGGGAATCCAGCAGCCTTGAAAAGAAGTTATTGCCAAGAATCATCTGCAACTATCCTATAAACTGGCTTTAAGTGGTATTTAAATAGCTTTTAATACAAGCATTATATAAAAGTCTGCCTCAAAATGAGTTTGTCTCCAAATAACAGCTTCATGGCAAAAGGAATAAAGGAAGGAGGGGTGAAGAGGGTACACAAAGTGAAGATATGTTTTTCATTGGCTTTTGATATGCAGGCAAATACGAAGTCAGAAATAGTGACAGAATCCAGTCTTCATACCCTGCAGGCTGTGTGGTCAGTTATTCAATCCTTCTCAGGTTTATTAGGAGATGAGTACATGCCTAAGGGTGCGTGTGGGGGGGATACCACCAGCTATAGGTTCCCAAGGAAGCTTTGGGGCTTCAGACAGAACTGCGGTATGGACAGATGGGCAGCCTAAATCGAATTACTCCTCTGGACAGAAACAACGCACTGGATACAGACACATCCTCTGCCCAGCGCCAGACTTCCCTACGCCCGTGTTACTGGTGTGGCGCGGGGGGGGGGGGGGGCCCCAAACCCCCCCTGCCCCGGCATTCTGAGCAGCTGCGGGGGGTTGTCGCCTCCTCACCTGCTGGGAGAGTCTTCCGCCACAGGCCATCACGGAGCAGTAGCACGTTTCCAAGAGGCTCACCTAGGATATGCCTGCCCAGGGGTTTTGGCTCTGTAGAAAAAACTCTTCCTTTGGACTCAATGGAACGTACACAGTCTTCGCCAGTGGTTGGGGATGAAACTAAGACTGAGTTTTCATCTCTCTCGGTCATTTCTTCCTCTGTTCATTTCCATGTCCTCACTGCTGCCCCAGCACTGCTCTTCCAGTCCTGTATTTCAGTATCTCAAACTTTCTAAGTCCTTGTGCTACCAGTTTGATCTTCTTCACAGAGCCCCCAGTGCCCCACATTTTCTTAGTATCA